GAAGTGTTAAAATGTAGTGATAATAGTCTGACACAGCAAGATTTTCTGACTACCGTGAGCTGGAATGGAAAGATTACAATTTGGGGGATTGGTTTTCAGCCCTCCATAATTGGGAGACAGTTGATGGAAGATACACTGGAGGCCACTGATAGGTACCTGGATGATTTGCAGTAGCAACGGTTCCCATCTCCCAGTTTGTTTAACAATTATTAATTACAGCATTTTTTTCTCCCCAGTCATCCTTTCCATATTAAGCCGCTTGGAAGGAAGACTTTAAGAATTTAAGGTAGTTGCACTCCTGTCCTCCAGAAAGGTGGAATGAAGAAACCAGGAATTGCACACTCAGAAAAAACGTGTGTGACCTGTTGCTAATTCCTGCTCAAAACAATCCTTGAAATTTTTCTTCCCAGTAAATGTGTGCCATCTGACTCATATTCAGATATACGTACACACAAACACAAGTATATAGAGAGGCTGGCCAAAAGTCACATTCTAAAAAGGGTAGGGCCAGGATGAAAAAACCAACATTGATTAAATAAATAACTACAGATTAAAATTAATTGCCTGTAGAAGAAGACTCCCTGTTTATGAGATTAATTGAGCCCCATCTTTAGATGCACCAAACCTAGAAGTGCTTGTACACGTTCTCCTGTGCCCTCTTCTCTTTTCAACAAAAATACATTTGGGTTGGGGGATATGGGGAATAGTTCGCTGCCCCGGGCAGGAAACTGAATGGAGATGGAGGGAAGGGAAGAGAGAACGGGGCTGGGAAAAAATAAGGAACCGTTTGCTTTTGGATTGCAGATGTCAAGGGTCAAACTTCCCCAGTGGTGGAAGAGGGTTTCCGTTGAGTGAGCACAGAGCTTGGAAAGTCTCTGTTCCCTTTCCAGACCTCAAACCTCCCTTGAGCCATGCCGTTTTAGGGGTTAGTGCAATGCTCCAGGGACAGCCCAGCCTGAAACATTTAGCCAAATCTCCCTGTTTTGTTTGCAGAGACGGTAGCTATCCTTGCCAACGTCCTGGGCAAAGACATCTTCCTGCCGCTTTCCGAGAAGTGCTGCCAGCTCGGGCTGGACCTCTGCGACAGAGTGGACGACCCAGACTTGCGGAGGTGCACGTAAGTCTGCTGGGGCCTCTCCCGTCATCTGTGAGTTCGCACTCTCAGCTTGACCCAGCCTTGGTTCCTTTTGCCAGCTTCCCCCAAATCCGGTTCCCCTCAAATGAGCTGGACTCTGGTCTGCTGTAGATGGGTGTGCTTTCGGTGATGGGAGGCTGCCAGTTGTTGTCCTGGAAGTCAGGCCGAGGCAGAATCCATGTCGGAAGGTGCCTTCTGGGTCTGTTTGTTCTCTTGGTTCTGCTATGGCACTCTTTCTCCTGTTTTATATAAAGCCTGCAAAAACATAGAGGTAGCCTACGTGCCATAGCTGAGATTAAGCGCCGGGAAAATTCTCACCTTTCTGCTTTTGGGTTTGTCTGGCACAGGGTGGGATTGTTCTCTGTATGACGTTGATTTTTCGGTTGTCAACTTCAAAAAGGGGCCTGGCTAACCCAGAACCTTTGTGCCACCTTTAGGTACAGTCTTTTTGGCTCTCTGGCGAATGTCATGGGGGATTCAATCACACCATACCTGCCTCGCATCACCACTCTTTTGCTTTATTCCCTCAAATCCACTGAGGGCATCAAGGTGAGCACGCAACACACGTGTTTCCCCAAGCTTTCCTTTGCCCCGAACAGCCTGGGTCTTTTCTTTCAAGGGGGGAAGCCCACACAAAAGCAGAGACGGTGTTTATAGCTGCACAACAGACACATGTTTCTTCTCCAACCCAAGTTGGAGAACTTCAAGGCTCAAGAATTCTACCAACATTCAGTAACTAGAGAAAGACTCTTCCCTCTTACTAAATGCTGGGCAGCAGAACTCAGGAGCCCGTGAGAATGGCTCCTTTTTTTGAAGCTGTTGCAGCCCTCTTTTGATCCTTGGATTACCTTCGCTGGATTCTGATTTCCTTTGCAAAGGTTCAGGAAAGGTTCCAGCACAAAGTGCCCCACTGTGGGCGTGCAGAAAGGCGCAGGGCCCAGCACAGACTTTTATATCTTGTCCAATTCTGGGAGTTGAAGTCCACCCGTCTTAAACTTGACAAGGTTGAGAAACACTGGTTTAGACCCTTGACTCCTGCTTGAGGAGCAGATGGCAGTTGTGGCTAGGAGGGTCTTTGCGCAGCTGCACCCCTTCCTGGACCATGAGGTTCTATTCACTGTCACTCATGCCCTGGTCACCTCCAGGATGGATTTCTGTAATGCGCTCTATACGGGGCTGCCCTTGAAGCGCATCTGGAAGCTTCAGCTGGTGCAGAATGCAGCTGGGCGGATAGTTACGTGTGCCTCTAGGATGGTACGCGTTACACCTCTGCTCCGCGAGCTGCACTGGTTGCCACTTCGCTTCCGGGTGCAATTCAGGGTGCTGGTTTTGACCTTTAAAGCCCTACATGGCATGGGACCAGGTTGCTTGAGGGACCATCTCTTCGTCCCATCAGGTCCAGCAGAAGAGGGATGCTCTGGGTCCCGTCTGCTAAGGAGCTCCATGTGAGGGGACCTAGGAGATGCTCCTTTTCTGATGTAGCCCCTGTCCTGCGGGACATCATTCCCCCTGAGGCGAGGTTAGCCCCATCTCTGTTAGCCTTCCAGAAAACCCTGAAAATGTGGTTGTTCCATCAACCCTGGGGATCCCGTGGCACGTCTGCAGCGTGGCTGAGGCTATGTGATGGTTGTTCTCCTGCTCTCTTGGGGTTCTAATATGTTTCTATTCTTTTATATTTTTATGTTTTGTCTTTGTTGGTATTTATGTCTGATGTTTTTTATACCGTGATCCAGTTTTATTTATTTCATTTATTTATACAATTTATACAGCCGCCCATCTTACCAGCAAGCAACTTACCAGCAAGGTATACAACAAGGCTAAAAACAATCATTTTTGCTTTAACAGTTTTAATTGTTATTCCGCTTGTAAGCCTCCCAGAGTCACTTTTTGTGAGATGGGCGGCTATATAAATTTGCTAATTCAGGGCACTGAATCTTAAGTCTTGGTGCTGGTTTGCCCATGAAGTATCTCCAACTTGTTTCGATCCCTGAATCAATGAACAGGCTTCGTTGCTGTTCATTGATTCAGGACTCTAACCAACTGGGCTGGATCGACCCAGCACCGCTGTGATGGTTTTTTTGAACATTGTGAACCTTCACTAACTGAAGTCACTGTTTGTTTCTCGCAGCCCCCCCTCAATTCTGGAAATTCTTTCCTTTTGTTTGATGACGAGGAAGAGGAGGCGGAGGTGGAGGGAGAAGAAACCCTTACTGATGAGGAAGATGAAGAAGACCCTGAGCTGATGGGGTAGCTTTCTCATTCACGGGAGGGTTTATTGGTGATCCAAATTGGGAGGGCCTTTCTCTTGCGGGGTGGGCAGGAGCTGGTTTCATTACCTTCCCTCCCAGTTTCTGAGCTTGTAGCTGGGTGCTGTCTCCATGTTCAGAAAATGTTCTCAGCTTTCATGTGGACTAGAAGCATAACTTCCTCCTGTTAACACTCATAGTCTAGCCAGGTACAGTGTAGTCCGGCTCTGATCATTTAGGCCTCAAAGCCTTTCCCATCCTGTCTGTGAGGAAGCTTACAGCTTCTCACCAACGAAAGACATCCAGATGGGAAAAAGCCATCTAAAAGGTTGCTTTCGGGTAGGGGTTTTCAAAATGTTCAGGCCGTGGAACTTGTTAGTAAAAAAGAAATAATAGTAGTAGTAGTAGTA